CACGTTTGGAAATAATGGAAGGAAAACACTCCAACAGCTGCAATGGAGACATTCTTTAATCTCTCTTAACATTTCGTAATAATTGGGGAAGCAAAATTGGGCCAATTCAGAATGGAACAGACACCGACCTCTACGTAGGATCGGACAAAACAGAAATTTCTTGATATGTGGAGAAATGAACATCTAACATCTCGGACCACATAATACTCGAAATCTAGAAAGAAATTCCCCATTGAGTGGTGGACGTCGAAACCTCTGCAACAAACTGAAGACCCCAGTTCATCTTCGACGAGTATTCTACGGATGCATAAATTATGTCCGCATAGTGGAAGTGATGGAAGAGATTAGAGTGAAATTAGAGTTGTATTGTGAAAGTTTCATTGATTACCAAGAAGAATCGAAAATGCGAATATGGATTATTAACTACGCTACTGACAAAGTTTCATTGGGATTTTGATTTCTGGTTCGATGTACCTTGTGAAAGGCATGGCTTCTTTTCTGTTGGAAAAATTAGTTGAACTGATCTGTGAGATTCCAAACTTCATTTTTGTTGTGTTCAGAGAGACGGGTTCTAACATTTCTTTTCGGTGCATGGTTTCTTTCCAATTTCACCAGAAGTGTTAGCAAAGTATGTATTTGGCTTGATTTGGTTCATAAAATCATGCCACTATACAAAAGTAGTTAAGAGAATGGGAAGTCATGTAGATCAAATCAATGAGTATGTATGCACTAAAAGTCTCCAAAAATGGTGACAAAGGCTTAGTTTTTCCTGCATGTGAACAGTCTAGACTTCCATTTTGTCACCTGGAGACACTGTAGCATCATGTGCTCAATACAATTTTTCTCCCAGTGACTAGTTTTTCATAGGGTGTTTGTTATATTCTCCTGGACTTGATAATTTGGTTATACGTAAATTGCTTGCCTTCTATGATGCAGTTTCTCACATTCATATGAGACATTGTTCCTTTGATGCATCGCCTGCAAGTGCTCGAAAACAAAAACATTTTCACATACCTTTCAGTAGTAAGTAACAGTTGTGTACCTGCATTCAACAAGTTTTTAAATGAAAACTGAAATCCTTTTCAATATTTTCAAAAACTACACCTCAATGATTTGATCTCCACAAACTTTTCAATAGCAAGAAACTTTAGTCCATAAAGGGGTTTTCATCAGAAGATGTTATTGGTTAAGATGTGTTAAAATGTTTATATTATTTTCATAGCTCATATCATTGTGGCCCAAGTATTTCAATGTGAACATGCTTTAATATTTATGTAGGTAGGTAGCCTGGATAAGTTCTGTTCGACAATATTATGATAACTGATTCTAGACAAATCATATTTATGTCCTGGAAATCACCGAAATATTATAATTCACAATGATTTGAAATTGTTAGGTTAGGTTATCCCTCGTTTCTTCTGTCTCTATTCTGAAATGAGCCACTCGGCTATCATTCGCGCAATAGGTACGCACTATAGTACAATTTTCAATTGAAGGTAACGCATATACAAATTGAACTGAGAGCTAAAGGCAAGAATGTTAAATGTTAGAACTAAATTCTTACCTAGGTCATTTTTATTGTCTACGCATCGCCATTGTAAATAAATGAAAAGTAAGATGATTCCATAAAATTTGCCCCCCGTAACAAGATAGCTTCTGCATATCGATAGGATGTACGAGCGAATAGGTGAACCAGTTCGTTAAATACTTTGAAACATTGGTAAACTGATCAACACTTCGCAGGTCTATTATATTTGCGTCCTTAAAATGCCATAACTAGTCATTCGGTTTCTTCATTATCAAGCGTCCTTATCTGCATAGGCGTTGTGTGTTCTGTTTCTTTTGAAGGTGACTTCGTTTTGTATTTATTAATTAGAATGTTGCATTTTTTAACTTTAAAATATAAGATAGAGTTGGCTGATACTTGTTTTTCAAAATACATTATTTCAGGTATAAATGTTCGTTAAACTCAGGTATAACTGTCATCAATTAGTTCCTAGAATATTATTAGTTTCTAGGTAGATAGTAGTATTTCAAAAAGTATAAATAAATCACAATGTATGTATGTAGAAACACGTGTTGCGAATTTGTTAATGTGTTCTAGTGAAAATCTCACAATAAAGTGTTTTTCAAAATACATTAACTTTAAAATAGTTTTTGAGGTAAGTAAACAACTGACAAATAGCTGAATAATATGATTGAATTTTATTATTTTTATAGTATTAAGATGGATGC